ACATGTATATGACACTCGTCTTGTTTTGATTTTCATTTGTCATTTTCACATGTTCACTATAATTTATTTATTCCAACATATACTCATATAGACACGTATATATAGTAGCCATCATTCGCTAATAACGGTTAGATTAGTTGTTCTTATTTTCTTAGTTATAGCAAAAATGGGCATATTTTATTGACAAAACGAGTGGTTTACCATAATTACTTTAAGAATGAAGAATGTAATTGAAATAATCGGAAAAAGACTTTTGAATGTGTTTATAAATACTGCGATGTGGTAATTAACTCTGTATCTTTGTTAGGACAATTTGTATATAATATTAAGACTGCACACAAATACGAAGTGAAAGACATAAATGAAATAGACGAAGTTGAAAATGATGACATTAATATGAAAACACTTAATAACTACACAGGGTTCTTCAAGAGACAAACATTCCGAGTGATATTTCTTAACTTAGTAATAAGAGTAGTAAATAATCAATAAATGTGTTACTTTTCTCACTCAATTAGTTGGTATCTACATCAAATAAATAAGTTTCGAAATTTAACAAATTCATCTTACGTATTTTTCTGCGCCCGAGTTTTTCTTCAGTCTTTTCATAGACTTAATTGGAAGACATTTAAGTACTGTTATAGTACCATATAATCTATAATGTCCTCTAGCTAACACTGAACTATGATGATGTAATAATGTTAATTCGTTTCAGAAGAAGAGATCAAACAAACAAATTTTCAATTTGTATTGTACATTAAAGTTTTACAATTGAGTTTTTATTTTTATCTAGGATCGTGTTGTGTTCCAATATGTTATCGTTATGAACTCAGATAAGCAAGAAATGCTCATTAAGACACAAAATTTTCCAATCGTTTAGCATAATTTCATAGCCACTCACTTTTTCACGTTTTTTTAGGTTTAAAGACCAAGGCTGAACTATCCAAATGTGCTTACTAACTAGCGAACACTTCAAGTTATATAATGCAGGAAAATTGGAGAGTGATAGATTCAGAGGAAGAGACTCTTTTGAAAATGGGCTGTAGGTGCATTGTCATCTCCAATCGATCCCGTTCTTGATAGATATAGATCCACTTTAGTTTAATCCATCTTTTTCTAAAACAGTGCCCTACTTTTCTGTATTATTGTGCAAGATAAACTATTACGATAAACTATCAGTCTCCAGTACATATTCCATTAGAGTGTGTGGGTGTGGTAGAAAAAAAGATTTACATCTACGTTCACATCCCACATCCATTCACACTCACCCCAAACCCACACCATAATCAAAAGAAAACCTAATTCTTACAAAAAAAAAACATTGCCTAAATTGTACGATGTATCCCGTAAAATCACACGACATATAACTAAATAAGGTTTGAGGCGAAAATAACGGATGGGATAGAATAAATATTCCTATCAGTCTTTCTCCAATATCTCATCGAGTTCTGAATATTTTTGCATCAGTTTTTTAATGGGAAGATTCTGCTTGAAATTCTCTATTAAACCATATACATTTCTGTTCATAAAGGTACACTCATTGGTTTACTGATATTCAGTATGATTAAGAGAAAGAGATTTCATCACATATCAGAACAATACAGTTGAATAGAAAAAGAATTGTGTTCAAAGTTGTAAGAAAATGCAAAAACTCTGTTTCATCTGCACTGCTGCTTCGATGTACACTACTTGAAACTGAGAATGGCTTCTAGAAAATCTCTGAAACGCAAAAATTTTCTTCCATGAGCGTGATTTCAGACGGATATGTTATTCAAATTTGAGTCTAACGTAAAAAAATTCAAAATATACCCAAATATCCTTTAATGAATGCCGAAAAACAAAGAGGTATCATAGTTCTATGCCATTCAGAAATATTATTCTTACACAGGCGTGGTACTCAAAACTTAATAATCGAGAATTTTAGACTCCAGATAACTATTAACTTACGTTCTTGGTTGCAATAGTTGCTTGTGCAACAATTGATTTGACCCTTGAAAGTGGCGCCACCATATGAAACAATACCAAACGGTTGACTCTGACAATCTTTAATGTACGTTCGTATGGTAAAGGCTGGAAAGCTTATATTACTGAGTCTATCCTTTCCTGCCAGACCGACGATCGTCTTTGAAATATTATCTTTTATAGGAGTACATCAATTTTCTCTGCTTAATCACTTACAGCACATGCTTCAGAAAAACTGGAAGATCCAGAGTGAATAAAATTCGAACCAGTTTTGTTCAAAATGCTGCATCCCGTGAAACCGGTCACACGTGAGTCGCATACATAACATTTAATAGTTGAATCTTCAGATAGTGATTGATTATTGCAATTGGGAGAATTACAACAAGAATATATGCGATGGGTTCGTGTCTCCATCGATCCTACTGACATTGGATATCTACCAGGAGAACAAGCCCTTCGATACGAGCTGTAGATGAGTTCACCATGCCATTTGCTTATCGACTATAATGCAATTTATTACACGAAATATATTTGAGCTGTAGAACAGCTTTATCTAATTTGATTTCGAATGTCGCTTTCTATTCTCGCTAATTTTCAAAGAAGAAATGGATTTCTAAGTGCTTTTCTTCATGTAAAATATCTAAAGAACTTTAGACATCTCAGATGACTTCGAAGTGAATGTCTGAAAACTTATAATCTTTTTTGAGATTAATCATCTAAATGTTGTTTCCATGTCTATCACTAACAAAATGCGCTTTGAACAAAAGAAAAGGTACTGCTTTATAAATTAGAATTGATCAACTTTGTCATTTTGGTGTTGCAGCGAAAAATAAACAAAAAACAATTTCGATTCATTCAAACGTTTGTCTGCTTCTTATAATCTTCAGTTGTTGATATATTGAAATTTGATTTCTAGCATCAATATACAAATAATAAGATCCTTTTTGTATTCCATTTGTCAAATAAATAAGTTTTTCCAGAAAACCAACAGCAAGAAAAAGTTCTCGTCGAAAACTTCAATATAATTTTGTCAGACTGCTCTCATCTAGTGCTCAAATTATTTATAAACAGTTTTCATATATGATAGTTGCCAAGTAGAAGACTATGCCATCATTTATGATCAATTTTTATACTTTTTTTCTTCTCATACTCGTTCTCTGGCAACATGAAATATCTCTATCCAAATATAGTTACCACTAAATCATAAGAAATCAATAAAGATTCGTCATGATTTAAAAAGACTTCGCTCTTAAGAGCTAAATGATCCATTTTTAACAACCAAAATAAAAAAGGTTTGATTTCAGAGTAGAATTTTTTCTAGTTAGTTTTGATAGTTGTAGTTCTTCATAGTTATATATGTCAACTCACCCAACAGGATTCAGCAGCACTGCTACGATAAGCATCATGAAATTCACTATGACAAATATCATTGTACGGCGGCGGACAACTGCCAACACGGCATGTCAAAGACGTAAATGCAGGCAATGGAGGTGAAGGTAGATTATTGCACAAATTGTCTTTACAACAATATTGATATGCTGAAGTTCGACATGTGTTCGATGGTACAATATCTCGAGTTGTTATACCTTCCAGACTTATCGTTATCTGAATAATATATAATCAAAAATTCAATGATAACATATCAACTTCTTCTTAAATATAAATCCTCACTGAACATGAATGCCTGACTTCATCATAGAAACGAGAGAGATATTGCTCATTATTGTATAAACTTGATGAGAACGAAGTACCACATTCTGGTCCACCATTACACTTGTAACACCTAATATTTCGAATAATTTGACTTTTCATTATGATTATTGCTTAAAAATATCTGAATAAATTTTTCTTGAATCGTATTGATGATATTACTTACTATGAATTAATATCCAGTAAAATATGACGATGATTCGACTTTTTTGTATTTTGATAAAATATGACATGATTGCTAAATAATTTCGTTTAATACTCAGAAAAATTTGTTTCATTATCGAAACGAAGATTGTAAAAAAGAAGAAAAATAGTTCATCTTAAGGGCTATTGAACTGAAATGTCTAAGTTTTTTTCGTTTCGAAAATTAAGGCCAGTCTATGATAAAACATGTAATTATAGAAGTAGCAAATCATCTCCTATCAATGTTTGAAAACAAAATGAAATTTTTGTAAGGGAGTAGTCTGTTGACGCTGCATTTTTTTTTAATTCTTTCTATGAGATGGGATCAATATGAACTTCTTGCTAATCTTCAAGTCGAATTGTTACACTCTCGACCAGGTACATGAATTACCTTACTATTCTCAAGGTGTTTCATCAGTCAAACGATGATGAAAGAGAAGAGAGACATAAAGATAACGTGGGATAAAGTATTTATACACGTGCCCTCTCACCTAGTAATAGATTCTAACCCTGTAACAAGAAGAAAGAAGAAGAAGAA